GCTGCTGGGGCTCCCGCAGCCTCCAAGACCCTCAGCCACAGTCCCCGCTGGTTTCACGGCCCACAGTTGTGGGGACGTCTCTTCCCAGCCTGGAGCCCTGGGCTGGGGGCCTGTTGTGGGGCTGGGACCCCTCACTCCTCTGGGAAACCCCCGCCGCCGAGATTCCCTTCTGGGTTTCAACTGCGACACCAGGTGTGGGCCCGCGGCCGCGTCTCCAGGATTCAGCCCCAACCCGCCCGCGTCTCCGCCCCTCCTCCCGGTCTCGGTGCTTCTTCAGCTCCCTGGTTGTGGGGCTTCTGTGCAGCCGGATCTCAGGAGGCCGAGTGACGGTGGTTCTGTATTTTAGTTGTGATTGTGATGTGGTTGCGGGAGGCGGCAGGTGCAGCTGTTCCCTACGCCGCCATCTTGCTTCTCCGTTCTGTTACTCTTTTATATAGATACCATATAGATTCTCTTTCACTGACATTTTAGCAGTTTGATCATGTCACTTATTAACAGCATTAAGCACATGCTAACATTAAAGTCTTTTATTTCTAAACTAAGCAATCTGTTCCCCAACTAGATTTCCTTTAGAATTCATTACCAAAGAATCTCCTTTTGTTACAGAACACAGGAAATTGTGTTACACTTTATGATGGTCCAAACCATGCACTTCCCTTTTCTCTGTGTCAGGATGGGCTTGTCCTTGTATAGATTAGTATCCAGTGGCCATCACTGAAGGCATGAATTCCAGTAGGCTTGTTTCAAAGGAGCTTTGTGGATCAAAATTATGAACATGAAGCATCTCCCGACATAGCGGGAGGCTCTGAAATAGATGTTTTCTTCTGTCCTCGAACACAAGAGGATGTAAGTAGAGGGTGCTGCACTGTAACGCAGCCTAGATCAGCCACGAGCCCAACCTCTGACGCCCTTCAACTGTTCTACCAAACAAAGAGCTCAAATGTGATCACCTGAGCGATGCCAATGTACTTGAAGTCACTTGCAGCCCTCTCACTGCGGGAGAGTGACGAGAAACCCCCTCCAAAAACTGGTGATGGCGCCCAGTGGGTCTTCGATGTTCTTATTCATGGCCGGTATTCTCTATATCTGCAGCTTATGGTTGGGGTGAGGTGGGGCGTGGCTGTGAAGGTCACTCATCTGTTGAATTACTTGAGTACCCTTTAAACCAAAGGGGGCCTTCTGATAAGTTACTTTAAACTCTGTTTTATGCTACACAAAGGAGCTCATTGCTCGTAAAGGACAGTAGTGTTTCATGATTTATGTGGCACCTTCCAGGGAAAGTTTAACACTGTTAGCTCAATCCTGACCTAAATTTATTAATACTTATTAGTTTGACAGATAAACGTGCTTAATTAAACTGAAAAAAACATATGCATCAAAGTAGAATTCTGTTGAACAAATTAAAGAACTAATACTCAAGAATTAAGGATTAAAGAACTAGTACTTTCAGCTATGAAAGGCTGTTGTCAGAGTTTAGGTTTCCCGTCTCTATCATGTACAGCCCTCTAAAGCTAGTATTAAAAGCATCTTAAATGAGTTCAACATTTATATGAGAGCTGAATATTAAAAAAAGCAACCTTGCCCGGCTGGTGTGGCTCAGGTGGTTGGAGTGTCCTGTACGCCAAAAAGTCATGGGTTTGATTCCAGGTCAGGGCACATACCCTAGGTGGCGGGTTTGGTCCCCGGTTGGGCGTGTATGAGGCAACCTACTGACGTTTCTCTTTCACATCAATGTTTCTCCCTCCCCC